GCCCTCCACGAGCTCTAGTTGGAAACAGGACATGTTGCGTGAGTAGAGCTTCTAGGGTTGTCTTTAGTAGATGGTAATCGAAGGTATTCATCGAGCATTTCGCATGCATATCACTCCATTGAATGCATGGTGCATTAAAATCCCCCATGATAACAACGTCTGGTCGGCTGGCGATCTCTTTTATGGTTTTCAGTAGAGAAGTATCTGGGTCGGGATCCGCCTGCGGGGGCCGGTAGATAGTTAAGACTTCGACGGACTGAGATCTCCACGCCTTTATAGTCAGCCAAATTGCCTCTGTGTCGTTAGAAATCTTGTCGGTCCTCTCACACACTGGTAAGTTGCTCTTGACATACATGGCAACTCCTCCACCCCGGCGGCCTCTTCTGTCTCTCCTAAACAAATGGTATCCTGCTAATGCTACCTCGCAATCACCAACGTCCTCTGACAGCCACGTTTCTGTTATTGCTATAACATCGGGAAGAGTATCGGCTACCTGTATTCTCAGTTCGTCAAGCTTGGAAAACAGACTCTGAGCATTGGTGTAAAAGAATTTTAGTTTGCAAAATTCGACAGTGCTTCGTTCGGTTTGTCTCGGGTTTGCCAATATTATGTTGCTGCCGCCATCATGATGACTGGCTGGTTCCAAAACAACATCGCGTTCCTCTGTATTACTCGACCCCTGAAAATGGCCAAGTTGCTCTCTCCCGCTGCAAGTCTCCTCTTCAACTCCGTTACCAATTCGCGGCTTTTCAGACGTTCCGCTGGAGAATAGTCCGGCTGAAAAAAAACTTCCTTGTGCGAGTTTCGGAGGCTGCTTTTCCTGGACAAAAGTAAGCTAGCTTCCTCTTTACTGTTCAAAACAATTTTCAGAGGTCGTGGCCGCACAGTTTCTGATTGTTCGCTCACCTTCTTTCCGATCCTGAAGGCTGCGCGAATGGTTATCTTTTCATTCGAATTAAGCATTTTGTTCACTAGGTGTTGAAGCATATTAAGGTCAGCGGAGATCCTCTCCTTGAGGGTAGTAGCATCCGACTCCCATAGATCCTGGACGACTACGCAGTGCTGACGATCAAGGGGTTCATTTTTTCTGTTTCCGGTGGCCTTGTCAGCTGAAGGTCTCAGAAGATCCACCGGAGTCGTCTGGGGTTCTATACTCCCGTTGTGGCGCTTACGCTTTCCATCTTGCCATGAGCTTGTTTCCTCACTTCCAACTGAGGGTCCTATTGAACACGTGGAATAACTGAGAGAAGTTGATGGCTCGCTTGGGTTGTCTCCCATAGAAACAAGAGACTCCGTTGTTATTTTCCCATCGTCCTGGGTATCGGCACTCTTGCACAGAGGTTTTCCACATGCTTTGTTCTTTGGCTGTTTTAGAGTTTTGCTCTTTCCCTTTTTCTTGCTAACTTTAACGCTATTCACCGCGTTTTGCACACTATCATTCGCTTGCACGAGTTCCCTTAAAGCAGTCAACTCTTTTTCGAGTTTTTGGACTTTCAGCAGAATAAATGAGCATCCAGTGCACGGCTCGTCCTCGTAACTAACAGGTTTTGCTGTGATAACGCTTTTAGCGCGCTTTGCGGGCCCCTGGTTGCAACTATAAAGAGAGCGAGCGCTAATCCTAGGTGGCAAGGCCTTCTTAATAGACTTTCCTTCATACATAGTGTCGTTTGTACTACGAATAATGTTTACTCCCTTATTTATTTCAGTCTGCTGGCCGTGCGCCGATAGTCTAGCGGTCATCTCGCTGGTCACCCTACGACTGGACATGGGTTCGAGTCCCACTTGCGGCCAGTTTTTCGCACATTGTCCTGATGGTGTTTTGTCGACTCCCATTATTAATTCAAATGATAAGGAAGGGATTCTAGGTATGAGCGAAGTATTTAAAGGTGTAGGAGAAGCTTTTTAACCAAGCCAAAAATACGAAGTAAATATCAAACGACTCAGCCGCTTCTGGATCTGGAGAACCCCGCGGTGCTGTTGGCAAAGAATTGATACGAAGGAGTATGGTCGTCCCAAAGAAAGTTCTGTCGGAGTTCTGAGTGGATCGTCCGAGGAATTGCTGATTACGCTTCAATTTCTTAATCCAAATGGGCCCGCAGAGCGTCCAGTAGGCAGAAATCCCGGAAAAAGCAAATCCATCGGAGGTCGAAATTTCAAACCGAATTCGAAAGGCGCGCTTCGACATCGGTGTAAGAATGATAATTGCTCCTGCGTTAAACTTTCGCGAATTGCATATTTTTACCATCGTCGAGCATAAAGCAGAGCATCCCACTCGAATTTCATACGTATGATTTGAAGAAAACGAGATGACGAATTGCAAATAACACGCATTGTCTCGACTTTAGCCAATCATGGAATCCTTTGCCAGGCTCAGTTTAGAAGGCAACTGTTTTGTATAATCCCATAGTCTGAAGACGAGCTGGAGAACCAGTCTTAGAAATTTAAACAAAAAATTTTACTGTTTCCCTAAGAACCCTTTCCTTCTAATATGCATATATACTTATTGTATTGTGAGGAACCAGGTCTTTCGGCCAAGTTAAATCTATCCTAACTTCTCTGCTCCCAATAACTAACCCAGTAATACATGGATAAATAGGTTTTTTATCAAATGACCTTGAGGCTACTTCATGGCAAGTAATAATTGATTTTCAAGTGAAATTTAGTACAATTAGACAAACTTTCTACAGTATTCACTTCAGCGCCGTGTTGTATGTGCTCAGTGCGCTACAACTTCGGGTCAAATCCCAAGTTTTAGGAAGAGGACAGGCGGCAGTGGTCGCTGACGAAGCCACAGCTTATGTTGACTGCGTCCAGTCATGCCTGAAAGTCCCTGGATCAGTGATGACAGCCCATTTTAGGCCCGTGGGCCAAGCTAAAGTGGTCTCCAATCGGTGTGTGGTGCATTTACCGGTCCCGGGCAAGGTCTTCCCAGTTTGCCGGATTGATCTGCAGGCTCTTCAGGGAGGCTTTCAGAGTATCCTCCTAGCGCTGGACTTGACCTCCTTGTCGTCGTGAACCCGTCTCGACATCCCCATAGAAGAGTCGTTTGAGTAGCCTCTCGTCCATCCGTACAAGGTGGCGGCTACAGCGTAATTGTTGTCCCAGCATTGTGTGAATACCGAGGATTCCCGTCCGCTCCAGTACGTCCGTGTCTGGGATCAGCGTCTGCCACCTCGGTATCAGTATTCAACGAAGAGAACTGAGGTGGAGAATGCTAAAGTTACGTGCCGTCTTCATGTACACCGTCCGGGTCTCTGCTCCATACGGCAACGTCATTAGGATGACTGCCTTGTACATCTTCAGTTTCGTGCTAAAATGAAGACCGGGACGATTCCAAACTGCGTTTTGAAGACGACCGAAGGCCTGACTGGTTTTGGAAATCCGGCAGGCCACTTCCTCGTCGATTTTAATGCTTCGGGAGAGGGTGCCGTCCAGATACGTGAAATTCTCCACCACTTCCAGTTGGGCTCTGTTCACGCTGACTTGCGGCGCATTGTGGGCAGTGTTGGGTGGCGGTTTGTGCATGACCACCGTCTTCTGCGTGCTGATGACCAGACCGAAGCTCTCGCAGGCGTTAGAGAAGAGATTCATGCTCCTTTGCATGTTCTTTTCAGTAGTTGCGTTTAGGGTGCAGTTATCGACGAACAGAAGTCAATGGACGGTGGTTATGGATACGCGCAAATGGAAGTGCAATCGCCGTGGATTGAGATTGTTCACTGCGAATGCCTCTGAGACAGCTCCGTTGTCCGTGACGCGCGTCGTCATACCATCCTGGAGTTGACGCACCATCTGAGTGGATCGTTCGGGACAGCCAAATTTTTGCATAATTTTCCACAGTCCTTCGTGATCCACCGTGTTGAAGGCCTTCGTCAGATCCAAGAACGTAGGGTAGAGGTGGGTTCGCATCTCCTGACACTTCTCCTTAAGTTAACAGACAACAAAGATCATGTCCGCTGTCCCACGATGACAACGGAATTCGCACTGGCTTTCCGACAGGAGACCCTGTTCCAGATGGTTATTTCGATGGTTGCGAAGAATGCGAGCGAAGATCTTCCCGACGATGTATAGTAGGGAAATGTCTCAGTAATTGTCGCAGATTTGGCGGTTCTTTTTCGACAGCGTATGCCTCCTCGGCTGTCAGGACATCATGCAGCAAACGCGTGACAGGCGACCGATCAATGTCATGACCCCTGTTCACACCTTCTTTGTGCTAATTGGTCACCCATCAGCCTATGGCAGTCCCCCCTGCCATATACTCGGCTGTTTCCACAAGCCTCAACACTTGTGCTGTCTCCAGCACTCAGTACACGTCCAACTTCCAATTAAACTTCTCTTTTGCATGCATAACATTGGCGGCCAACCTAACGAGCATGTCTTCATTGCCGCCTACACCGTTACATTTCTGGCCAAAGAACACCTAGAAACCCTCAAATGACTCGTGGTTGCAATGGAGAAAATCATTTGAGGACTACATTGAACTACGCGCATTTAGAATTCGGTCTGAAATTTTCGACGTCCAGGGGATTTTGTCTAGTGGATGCTCTGCGGACCCATTTGGATTAAGAAATTGAAGCGGAATCAGCAATTCCTCGAACGATCTACACGGAACTCCGACAGAACTTTCTTTTAAGACAACCAGTCTCCTTCGTATCACTTCTCGGCCAACAGCACCACAGGACTCTCAAGATCCAAGAACGGCCGAGTCGTTTGCTATTTGTTTCCTATTGCTGGTTAAAAAGCTCCTCTTACACCTTTTAATACTTCGCTCCATACCTAGCATATTTTGCGCATCCTTTGAATTAATAATGGGAGTCAAAAAAACACCTTCTGGACAATGTGCCTAGGACTCGCCAAAAATGGGATTCGAACACAGATGACGCCACGGGGTGACCGACTAAATCGCCACTAGACTATCGGCACACGGTGAGCAGGCTGAAATAAATGAAGGAGCAAAACTTATTCGTAGTACAATCGACTGCAACTATGTATATATCGCTGTCAAGTCACCTCCCGCTAAACACGCAAGGAGTTTTATAAGCTATATGGATATCAAATACGAAGACGAAGTCTGTACGACATGTTTCGTACTCCTTCAAAAATTTGCGGGGATATGGAAGGAGATTAAAGGCCTTAAAGTGGAGATGGAGAAGCTGGGGAAACTCCGTCACTATTCATCCAAAGAGAATTAAAGTGAGCTAACATGCGCAAACACGGCTTCCTCGGCTGTGTCGATAGAGGAGAAAGAAAATAGTAGGTCTCTAGAGCTCCATATGAATGACAATCAGTGTTTTGTGCTAGAAAAGGGTGACCAGACGCGACCTCAGCGGACAAAAGATGTCTCAGAGCACCTCGAAAAGACACAGAGAGTCAGACAAGAAAACAAGAGTTGGCTACACCACAAACGAAAATCGTGCCGCTGAAAATGACAAATGATCAAAAGATCGTAGTAAACAGGCAGTCATGCGTTAGTCCTACCGAATCAAACCTTCCTAAATCGGTGAATGGCGGTAGTCAGGATATCAGTGATGAAGTCTCTGCGGGTGTGATTGGACCACAAGGCCCTCTAGCTGATCGCAGTAAATGCATTGCCATAAAGGGCATGTCTGGGTCTGTCTCCGACACTCCAAAGGACAGAATACAGCACGACATAGAAATATTCCAGGCATATCTCAAATCGATCTTAAGAGGAGACGAGAAAGTCACCGTATTATAGGCTTTCAGAATGGGCCGAATAAAAGACTCAAAACATGAACCAGACCGATCGAGACCGTTAGAAATTGCCTTCCAGAATGACGAAAAAGCGCAACCACTGTTGAGCAGGTAATCTGCATTCGAAAATGCCCATCCACTAGTCTCTTTCACCGGCACTTTTCACTCGCGAAGAGATAAAAATGTAGGGGGTTCAAATTGGAAGTTCTCAGGCGGTCGAGTGTAGGCGAGACAAATCTCAGAATACTGAAGGGGAAAATTATACGCGTCCAGAAGCCATTCCTCTGGAGAAAGCCCATAACCATAACAGCTTAGGAATGATGGAAAGCAGTCCATCCCGACAAGTTCCGACCGGCTTTTGCATCCAAGCCCGTGAAATTGACGAACGCCCGTATCCCGGAGTTATCGTGCCAAATTGAGATTTTTGTATACTAATGCTGAAAGTCTCGTTTCGAAGATCGACGAACTCAAAGCGTTAGATTGAGAACAAATCTCCGACGTCATCGTCATGACGGAAACTTGGCTTAATGCCGAAAGTTTGGATGCCGAGATTTCGATACCGGGTTACCAGCTCTTTCCTACAGACCGTCAAAATAGACGGGGTGGTGGGGTTGTCGTATAAGGGCAGGAATTTTGACAGTTGAACGAGCCCACACCCTCTCCCTTGAATATGAATTCGCCTGGATAAAGATGAAGAAGAAAAATGCAGAAAATCTAGAATTCCTGGCGATTTACAGACCACCAAACATTCCGAGTGCAGCTGATGAGTCGCTCCTTCATTTAGTCAAGGACGTAGCCAGCCACCAAGAGGTACTTATTGCTGGGGATTTCAACGCACCTGCGATAGAGTGGGAAGCTATGGTAGTAATGGTGGGCAAACTTCCCTCAGCAATAAGCTAATGGACCTCACACTCGATCTATCTCTGGCGCAACATGTAAATGTACCTACAAGATTTCGACAGAGTCAGAGAGCGAAATGCCTGGACCTAGTTTTCACTAAAGGCTTCTCTAATATCGGCTGAGTGTGTTCGGGGAAAGTGACCATAGTACGCTACTATGGGATCACTCTCTCTTCTCTCAACACCAAAGGAGAACAGAATGTCAACCTAATATATGGAGGGCAGATTTTAACACGACGAAGAACGAATTGATGTCCATGAATTGGGACCGTTTGCTCGTGGGAGATCCGGAGGACGACTGGAGATCTTTTAAGACGATTTCACTCGATCTAATTCGGCGCCGTTTTCCACATAAACTACAAAAAACAACTAGTTGACCTGCTTGGTTAACTAGGGACCTAAACAAGCAGTTACGGAAGAAAAGCAAAAGATGGAAACTGCGTTACGTGCGCATTTTGAAGAATTTCGTCATAAACGAAATGCAGTCAAAAAATGTATCCGTCAGGCACGGAAGGAGTATGAGTCTAAAATTATCTGACAGGCTGAAGAGAAGCTCAAGATTTTATTTCGCTATGTTACCAGTAGACTGAAAGACAAGGATCCGGTAGCAGTACTGAGGGATGATAATGATGTAGAAATCATTGACAACAGCGGTAATGCCGAACACTTAGGACGGTATTTTGCCTCATTTTTTAGAAGGAAAACAGAGTTTCGTAGTCGCAGTGCCAGCAATGCTGTTGAGACTGCTGGTCCCGTGCTTAACTCCATACTGTTTCCGACAACTGTCGTGGAAAGGGAGCCGCAACATCTCAAAAAAGCAAAGTCCTCGGGTCCGGACAATATACCGGCCAAATACTTGAAAGAATTATCGGACGAACTCTCCAAACCACTGGCGTCCGCATTTTGAATGAGGTCAAACGAACGAACCAAATACCCGCGCGAATAGTTCATTGGCCAAAACAACGAAAGCACGTATAATTCAGTGCATAGAACTCATTACCCTTTGCAAAGTTATTTTTTAGTATCCAAATGGCAGCAAATTTACAGTTTTGCAGACACCTAGAGCTTTGTGTGAATCTACGTGTTTTGTTTTTCAGGCCTAAGGCTGCATAATCAAAACATCCGATGTTAGAAGCCACTTAGTAGACCGGAAATCCAGCTCATCAATTTTTATTTGCAGTTTCTGCGCGTCTTCAACAAAAATACTTGTTTTGCGGATTTGTATATCACCTGCAAACATCATGACGTCGCCTTCAGCATCGTCGATAAAGTCGTTTGTGCAGATTTGGAAGAGTAGAAGGCTTAGTACCAAACCCTGAGGGATACCGCTTCCCAGTGGTAGCTGTGGTTCCAACGAACTTCTCTGCGGCTTCAATGTAAGGAAATTATAATACACTCAAAAACATTGTCATGGATTCCACGCTGACAATTTTTGTAAGACTCACAGACGGGGCATGCAGTTAAAGGCCTTATTGAAGTGAAAGAAAATGACATCCATGGGAGTAACAAACCATTGTTTTTGTCAAGTTTTCCTCTTTGTAAAGACCAGTCGCAAGACATGGGCGACAACGGAGAACGGTTGCTGGACAGTAAATAGTATGTTCCACCACCACGTACACATAAGTAAGTGTATCTTAACAAATCGTGCCATGACTTCAAAAAACGCAGTTTAAACTAATAGGCGATAGAATTTCTGACTGACATCTAAGCCTTTCTTTTTAGGTCGGGAGACAAAGGCCCCATTCCATTCCTTTGTCAGTTAGGCCTCCTCCATGGTCTCTTGGAATACCACTAATACTTGCAGTGCTAGTAACCTCGTCCCCGCTATTGGCGACACGGTTATCTATGGGCAGTCATTGTGCGAGAAATAAACAATGGCAAAATTTATTGAGTGGTTTTCAATGAACTTGACATCATTAGTTGGTCCCTTTTTTGGGAAGTCCCTTAGCAAGCTCACGAATGCAGCAAATCGACAGCAAAGGT